AAAAAAAAAACAAGTTATTGTCATAGGAAATTAGTTTGGTTAAAAAATAATGTTATGACCAACTTTTTATTTGCATTTTTCAAAAGGCAATGGTTCGAATTCGAAATTATTGTACACAAAATTGTTAGGAAAATATCCATATTTTCGATACAAATGAAAACAAAAATGCGCCTACCAATAAAAAATATCATTCATATTTAGGTCACACAAATTCCGCCTCACCCAAGAGTGAGCAATATGATTACTTTTATAAATACATATTTTTTCTAACCACCTTATCCAACATCCAAAAATACTCCATCATTTCACTATTCAAATGATTTCTATGAAATATAAGCACCTATCAATACCAGTTCATTTCCATAATTTAGCTGTCAAAAGTGTCATTCAGCTTTGTTTTGCTATTTTCAATTGGTTTTCCTTTTTCTCTGTTTTCCAAAAGCGTCGTTACGCAGCTTTAGCAGCACAATAACAAAAACCTGACACATTATCCGCACTTCAAACTACTTCATAACTAGTATTGAGATTTTGAAAAAGTGGCAGACAGTCAGACAGAAAAAGCGGACACTTGAGTGAGTGAGTTGTGGTAGCCTCAGGAAGTGGCGCATAGAAATTAGAAATGTCAATATTAAATGCCACTGAAGTTTCCAATCTTTCTATAGAAAGATAAAATACCACTTTTAATAGGCAGTTAAAATAAAAAATGTAATTTGCATACAGCACGCATGGGTAAACTAGTAACAATAAGACAGTAGATGCGAAAAATATGAGGAAAAAGTTGCACATATACAGACCCCGACAAAACGGTAGCACCTTAACCATTTTACCAGTTTTGACTATTTCTCTTGTGTTTGCGTAATGTTCATTGGTTTTTTATAAAAGTATACAGTAGCGGTCAAAAATGGATGAATGGTGTTTCGTTTTTAATATTTACAATAATTTTTCAAGCAAACATTTTTTTGATATTTTTTTATATAACAAAAACTGTGAAATCACACTTCCACACTTTATACAGAACTTAAAAAAATTCCACAAATTTGTATCTAAATTTCGAGCTTTTTAACCAGAATGTTTAGAAATTTTTTGGGTATGTAGTTAACAAGCTTATAAAATTCCAGTAAAATAAGTTTCTGGCGGATAAAAAATCGCACTGATTTTTAATAATTTTTGTTGCTTTTACGGTTTTTTTCTTTTTTGGTTAAAAGGCTCGAAATTTAGATAAAAATTTGTGGAACTTTTCAAAGTTCTGTATGGAGTGTGAACCATATTTTTATAAAAAAACATATCAAAAAAATTTATGACTGCCACTGTAGGTTATTATCTAACAAAAATCACATAAATCCAAATGTAAAATTTTGTAAAAAAATTCATCAATCAAATGAAGNCTTTATACAGAACTTAAAAAAATTCCACAAATTTGTATCTAAATTTCGAGTTTTTAACCAGAATGTTTAGAAATTTTTTTGGTATGTAGTTAACAAGCTTATAAAATTCTAGTAAAATAAGTTTCGGGCGGATAAAAAATCGCACTGATTTTTAATAATTTTTGTTGCTTTTACGGTTGTTTTCTTTTTTGGTTAAAAGGCTCGAAATTTAGATAAAAATTTGTGGAACTTTTCAAAGTTCTGCATGGAGTGTGAACCATATTTTTATAAAAAAACATATCAAAAAAAATTTATGACTGCCACTGTAGGTTATTAATTATCTAACAAAAATCACATAAATCCAAATTTAAAATTTTGTAAAAAAATTCATCAATCAAATGAAACCTGTCTGATTAGAGTCTAAATTAAGTTTTATTTTTCTACATATATGCATAGGTATAGATATACATATATACATAGGTATAAAGATAGAGAATAGAAAGGATATGTTAGGTTACTTAGTAAAATGGTAAAAAAAGAAATCCCACCAAAGACTCCAACCAGACAGCCTTTATTGGATTGACTCTCAGCCCTAAAACCACAAAAGAGAATTCAGCTCTTCAATTTCAGTTTATCAAGCTGNAAATGGTAAAAAAAGAAATCCCACCAAAGACTCCAACCAGACAGCCTTTAATGGATTGACTCTCAGCCCTAAAACCACAAAAGAGAATTCCTATCCTAGTCAATCTGGAGACTAAATCAAAAACTTGCATTTTATCATGTTGAGAAATAAGTTGTTCTTCAAGTTGAGAACCATCTTTTTCTCAAGTTGTGAATCAAGTTCCCTTGACTCAACTTAACCTATGATATGATTCCCTCATAAATTAGAGTATATATTTGGGTAAGCNTTGAGAAATAAGTTGTTCTTCAAGTTGAGAACCATCTTTTTCTCAAGTTGAGAATCTAGTTCCCTTGACTCAACTTAACCTATGATATGATTCCCTCATAAATTAGAGTATATATTTGGGTAAGCTTTTTTTTTCAAATTTAAAAATTTGGTCAGCTCCGAACGAAATTTAGCTTTTATTAGAAGCTTTTTTGGCAAATACATAATTTGTGGCTTGCATTCGATAAAGGATTGCGACTTGACACGCCCTTCAAATGAAGTACACTGCATACCCGCTGTCTATACACTCGTCTACCATTGTATTGGAAAAGTTCTAGAATTGAAGCTAATGGGAGCATACTGGTCAGAGCGGGAACAGCTCAAAGTACATATGCTCCACCATCAAAAATGTATTTACATAAAGCTTTAAAAAGCTTGAAGTGAGTGCCTATAAAGTGGCTTGTGGTATTTAGTTCAAATAGCGCATGGCCACTTCATAGGCATATGCCTTGGCTTTTAAAAGCTCTCTGTACAACATACAAGCTTTTTAAAGCTTTCCCCCCTCTCACCAGCACTGCCCCGGAATTTTATGATATTCTAAAGCCTTTTTGAACTTTTCTGATTGTTTGAAGCTCTTAACGACTTGCATACATCAAACATTTTATGTCATTTAAGAAAATTTCTACAAATATACACATAAAATTCTCTTACCTTGCACAATTAATTTAGATCGGAACAATGACCGCTGCCGAGGCATGTTTTAAGACAATCTCATTTGAAAAGTCATTGCCATCTGAAAATCGAATTAAAAACAAAAAACACAAATTTAGTAAATAACAAAGTCATCAAAAAATGCGCTGTCCATTACAAAATAATTATCTAGGTACATAATAAAAATAAATAAATAAATAAAAGCATAGCTCTTTCATGAACTATAGGCGACCTCAATGTTAATCATCATCTGCCTCCACACAAAAAAAAACCACAAGTGAGCAATATCTTCGAAAAGCCTCGAAGAGCAGCGGTCACTCAATGAGTCATTTGTACAGTTGTTTGTGATTTTTTAATATAAAGAATGCTGCAATTTATTTCTACATGTTTTCTTACATTTTGTATGAGTAATAATTTTTCACGGTTATGTATGTAAATTGCGGCTGGGTATGAACAGCAAAGTGAAATGGAAAAATAGATTACAAATTATTGCAACTGACAATTGAAAGAAAACCACACAAAAATGAAAACAAGAAAAATTTATTATTTATGTTTTCTGTAGAAGAAATGTGTAACAGCTGGCGTGCAAAAATTTATAAAAGTATCAATATTATTATATGAAANTTGAAAGAAAACCACACAAAAATGAAAACAAGAAAAATTTATTATTTATGTTTTCTGTAGAAGAAATGTGTAACAGCTGGTGTGCAAAAATTTATAAAAGTATCAATATTATTATATGAAAGCATTTAGTAGGAAGTGTGAAGGGAAACGAGAACGGTTGGATTGTATAAATAGTAGAATTGTAAACACTTCGTACGTGCTTAGTAGAATACATATTTTTTTCTCTCTTTTTTCATTGAATATGCTCCATATTTGCCATTGTTTTGCGGTTAGGCTATTTAGTCTGGTTTTCGTCTTGGCATTTCAACGGCGAGCATCAGTTTTTGTTAAAATATAATACAATTGCTTGTCCTTTGNTTATTGCAACTGACAATTGAAAGAAAACCACACAAAAATGAAAACAAGAAACATTTATTATTTATGTTTTCTGTAGAAGAAATGTGTAACAGCTGGCGTGCAAAAATTTATAAAAGTATCAATATTATTATATGAAGGCATTTAGTAGGAAGTGTGAAGGGAAACGAGAACGGTTGGATTGTATAAATAGTAGAATTGTAAACACTTCGTACGTGCTTAGTAGAATACATATTTTTTTCTCTCTTTTTTCATTGAATATGCTCCATATTTGCCATTGTTTTGCGGTTAGGCTATTTAGTCTGGTTTTCGTCTTGGCATTTCAACGGCGAGCATCAGTTTTTGTTAAAATATAATACAATTGCTTGTTCTTTATTGATTTCAGCTTTTGTGAAAATTCCCATATTTTTGGCTTTTTTAATTTAGAGATTTAGCGGCTAACCTTGAACTTTTTCGAAGCGAGGGCAAAAATCAATATTTTTATATTTCTGAGTAATGTGATGCGCATTAAAATGCGGTTTCCAGTGTGCGAAAATGTGTAGCTTTGAGAAGCTAGTTGATCCCAGTTTATTCTAGGCGATTTATAAATTCAAAGTAAGTTTCTTGAGCTTTAAAGGGGATATTGTTGGCGTTTTCGGAGGCGCCAGAGGTTTTAAAACGATTTTTAAAGTTTCCATGTTAGTTCCCAAGCTTTGCATGGTACGCTGTCAGAGCTTTCAAAATGCGATGAAAGCTTCCACAGCGACCTCGGAGATTTATGTATAGGAGATAGTTTCGAAAGAACTATCTGTTAGAGTTCTTAGATGCTATGATGGACACAGGACTCCGGATTGCTATTGCAGAACCGCTTTCGGCTGGACTTGNAGCGACCTCGGAGATTTATGTATAGGAGATAGTTTCGAAAGAACTATCTGGTAGAGTTCTTAGATGCTATGATGGACACAGGACTCCGGATTGCTATTGCAGAACCGCTTTCGGCTGGACTTTNTGAAAATTCCCATATTTTTGGCTTTTTTAATTTAGAGATTTAGCGGCTAACCTTGAACTTTTTCGAAGTGAGGGCAAAAATCAATATTTTTATATTTCTGAGTAATGTGATGCGCATTAAAATGCGGTTTCCAGTGTGCGAAAATGTGTAGCTTTGAGAAGCTAGTTGATCCCAGCTTATTCTAGGCGATTTATAAATTCAAAGTAAGTTTCTTGAGCTTTAAAGGGGATATTGTTGGCGTTTTCGGAGGCGCCAAAGGTTTTAAAAAGATTTTTAAACTTTCCATGTTAGTTCCCAAGCTTTGCATGGTACGCTGTCAGAGCTTTCAAAATGCGATGAAAGCTTCCACAGCGACCTCGGAGATTTATGTATAGGAGATAGTTTCGAAAGAACTATCTGTTAGAGTTCTTAGATGCTATGATGGACACAGGACTCCGGATTGCTATTGCAGAACCGCTTTCGGCTGGACTTGCAAAACGAGCTGGAAGCTTCCACAGCGATTCGTATGATGTGTATAGCCTTGAAACCGGGCTAAAAGCTTGCAAAGGAAATTCAGAGTTTTATATGAAACGCTCTTAATTAGAGCTTTCCAAAGCGGAAATAACTTCAAGCTTTCATTACAAGTAAGAACTTCCGGAAGAAATAACAGAGACCACGAATTTGGGTTAAAGCTTTCACAGGACTTTGCGAGCTTTATTTGGAATACTAGCTATTAGATCTATTCGGATTTAAAAAAAAAAATGTTTTCATGTAAAATCTACCACACCTCTTAAAAAGTGCGATGATATTTTTATTGTGCCATTGTTTTTACACCAATTGCTTGGATCGGAATTCCAATTTTTTTCTCATTTTAAAAAGAACTCAATGATCCGATGTAGGCTTGCTTTGCACGCCTTTATTTCTTTAGTCTGCCTTGATTTACTTTGAAAACTTGTTGGGCGAAATGGCGGCTTGGAACGCTGCCTAAGCAATTAGCTGTGTTGTTGAAAAGTAAAGCATGCTCCTTTAACATAAAGAATTATTTTCACACAAAATTCGAGATAATTGAAAAAAACGGCAGCGCAAAATATAATAGAGGCTTTTAAGATCCCAATCTTATCAGAGTTATTTTGAAATTAATATGAATTAATTTTTGCATTTCAATAAAAATATAGAATAAATCTCCGCACAGTGTTTTTTTTTTAATATTTGCAATGCTTTTCATAATAAATTCTGCATCAAATGGCATATAAATTAAATTACAGTTTTTTCCGGATGAAAAAAAAAATTCGACAAATCTTTACCAAAAATTTCAACTTTCAAAACATTTTTTTCCATATAACGAATGCGTGATAGTTGTTTTTGCATGGGGAAAATGCCGAAGAGCGTTAGTAAAAAAAAATCTCAAAAATCAACGGTAGCTTGTAGCCACTTAAAACTTGCATTTTATTATACTGAAATTCAGTGAACCACACAACTGTCGAATTTTCCTAAATTTTGTAAAAATTTTTAAACATTAACTTATATGCCATTTGATGTAGAATACACTATATTTCTATTAAATACTAATGAAAAAATCTATTACGAAAAATAATATATGTATGTTAGGCTGGGCTGAAAATCCGTTTTTTTTTTTTTTTTAATTTTGATCGTTAAGTAATAGCAAAGATAGATTTATTATGCTCTAAAAAACTTCTGTGCGAAGGATGAAAATTTTCGGTGAACATCTTAAGCTCGCCCAAGCAAATCAAAGTTCAAAGCGTTAAAAACAAATTTCGTAAGCTAAGAAATCGATCGTAAATTTAATTCTCTACAAAAAGGTCCTTATACCCAATTATGTAGGACTATTTGTAACGACCGGTTGCTCATTTTACATGAAATTTAACTTTCTTTAAAAAGGTGGCTTTATGAAATAATTTGCGCTTAATAGTTTCTAAGTTAATTGCGATTTTTGCTAAAAACGTTGTATTTTTGTCCATGAACGAACCATTTATGGTTGAAAAATAATTAATAAATTACAATTAATTACAACAAAATAACAAATTGCCATAAACACCAAATTCAGTCATTAAAATCAAATTTTAATTAAACTTAAGGCACATCTAAATGGTGTTATATACACGCCGTTGGACTAGCAACCATGAAATCACAAACCAAAGTGCAACTGCCATGAAATGCACTGTTGTACAGTTTTTCTTTTTTTTTTTTTATAGGCGTTACTATAAAGCTAACAATTCCTGTCTGGTGACCTAAATTTCCTGCGGCCAAAGCGTTACCTAGAAAAATTATTAAAACAGATTTGGCGCGCTATGCTACTCAATGGTGGTCGGTAGTAAAGCTGGTGTAGTCGCATAGTGTGGCGCTGCCACCAACCACAGCACATCACACAACATCAACCTTCTTACTTTAAGCAAGTCATTGCGAAATAAATGTGTGTGTCTAACAAACCTGTTGACTTAGTTAATACAACCGGGTGTTTATATGTACTATAGCAAAACAAGTGCAACAAACTACGGAAAGGTGTGTAAGAACATACTACGTACATACATACATATCAACTCGTCACTTAACATAAATGAACGCTCATAATATGCTTTGATAACGTTAGCGTGCTTTGCAATTAACATTAGAATACGCATTTGAAATTTCATTCAATTCATGGTCATCTTCAGCAAACTTTTCCATGCTGTTGCTGCTTAACAGTCGCACAGTGTGGAAAATGTACTTTTTTTGTGATAAAATCTAAAATTTCGAAAACGGAAACAGTTAGCGAAATGAATTTAAAGCTCTTGAGATAGAGAATTTAGGATAAATAACATGGTTCGATAAAGCGTGTCATTGACCTTCAAAAATAGGTTTTAATTTTTTTCACCTGAAAACAGCTTGCAATGAACTTTTTAAAAGAATTTAATAATACACTGCGTAGCATAATTATAAGACCGCCATATATTAACCAGTTCTGACTATTTATTTTAATATTATTTACTTTCAATTAATTTCTTATACAAATATGGTTCATTCTATACACCATACAAATTTCCAACTTTGTGCAAAAATTATAATATTCAGCGAATTTTCACCAAAATTTTACCTTTTTTTTAAGAATTTATGGAAAAGTTTTGCGTATGCAATTTTAT